AAAGGCGCAAGGAGCTCGTCCGACCCGCAACTCACACCTTCGTCCGCAAGCCCCACCCTTCGCTGTCGGTTGCCACGTGGCGCTGCTTGAAAAGCGCGGCGCATTGTTCGTTGGCAGTGGAGCAACTAGAGTTAGGCTTTCGTGAACTCGTCCAACGCGCCCCTTCTCTATCCCAAGGTGGAATGTGGCTGAAATAGGGGAGGTTTCTGTACGGGGCGTAATCGGTGGTTTCGTTTGCTTTTTCCTTTTTTCCAGACCACCTCCCACCTCTAGCTTCATAAACGCTTTTCCACACCTATTTTATCCCGAATCTTGCCTTTAAAACTGCTTGTGCGTTAGGTTGAATGGACAGTAAGCTGGTTGGTAGGTAGAGTAGTTGAGAGCATTCATAAAAACTATCTTGGAATGAGGGTTTGAGAAATTCAGTACGCAGACACGTTACGCACTCGTCTAATTGATTTATTTTCGAAAAAAATGGCTGACTCCTTATACGTTAATCTTTGGGGTCATTTCTTGAATCAGGTATTGCTCAGCCCGCCTATCGTGGCCGCCAATTCGTCTTAGCGATAGGGTAGGAACAGAAATAGCATGCATGACTGTGCTCATTAACTTATCTTCACTATTAAAATGTATTATATCTTCTACTTATACCACTCCTTCTCTCGACACATGCTCACCACCATTTCCCCCTCCCTTTATGTGTCTCTTCTCCCCTCAGCCTCCCCTCTCTACCCAACCCCCTCCTTCCTGTGCCGGGCCTACTGCCCAGCCGGCCGACTGCCTTCGCAGCCTCGACTGCATTCTTAGTAATGAGGCTGTGGCTCGTACGTGTTTGTAGCCATTGTGGGTGTTATCACAATCACTACATCAGGTCAGAATAATACACTGGTGTGCAAAACATTCAGGACGAACGTAGCTTTTCCAACGACAAGTTACTGACGCGTAACATGACTCCTTGGAACCTAACCACACATACAAAGAGCTGCCAAAGGGCACTAAAAAAGCAGGTAGACGGTCCACGAAGCTATAAAAAGGTTATGACACTTGATCTGTCTCGTCCTCAAGTTTTGCACACCAGTGTACGTCAACATGAATATAGACCTTACTCTTGAAAACGGTCGTTCTCACTCAGGCTCTTCTCCCCACCTCACCCATCCTTATACCCTCCTCTCGGCGCATGACAGCGCCATGTTCTCCCTCCCTTTCTCCTCTGCCCCTTCCCTCCCTCTTTCTTTCTCCACCGCCGGTGTCCTATCCTTCCTTCTGGGCCCGTCATATCTTTTCCTCTTCCTTCTACCCCCTCCCCCGCTCATCCGGCTACCACGGCAGTACCAAATTGGTCCGGACGGAGAAAACGACACACCCACACCGAAAACCTGACATACCAAAGTTCTGGTTTATATAATGAAGTGATATTCAGCTCCTAAACCACATATGTGTGCGCGACGACGGCGCTTGCAAAATAACGCCGCTCCCACGCAGCAAAAAAGCACAAACGCGCTCTCGTCAAGTGTTAATCAGTTTTCACGTGTAACCTGAGAAGAGTACTCCAAAAAACGATCCATGACTTACTGAAATGTGACTGCAAAGCATGGCTACACACAGAAATCGTAGGTCTACGGGAATGGATACGGAGCGCTGACGTCATAAAAAACCCTCCTGGTTTGTTCGCATAGATCGTCAGGCTTTTCCTATTCTGCATAATAACTTGAAACAACAATGGGAAGTCGTGCGCCGAGTCTAAATTAGAAGCCCCTTTTCTAATTATAAATGGCTACTTCGATCCATAGGAAAGTCGGAGAGGACAGCGGCGGCTCATATAGAAGACAAAATGCCGGTCCTTGTTACCGAAAATGAATTTACACCTTTTCGCGTTATTGTCGGGTATGGTACATCGCCGACTACATATTTACTGACTGCGGAGGCACGCTTTCAGGCAACCTTCTCTCGCCAATATTTCCGCTCGGCATCCGCATACTGTAATAGTGAGAAGCAATCTCACCATCAGACGGTTTCCTACTCCAAATCAAGGCGAACTGTAAGAATGAATGCAAGCAGCTCGTGACAGCATGGTGGCATTTGGTCTCAAACAAGCAATCATGCTACTGCGAAGGGGTGATCTGAAATTTCTGCAGTGATGACGAGATCCTCGAGCGCGATGAAGATGGTGGTCGGAAATTGGACATTGAGACGACTAACCTTGCCTAGATCTGTTGAGTGGGTTGCTGCAGAACTGGGGAGCAAAAAATTAGAGGGGACCTGACAGGGCTCTCGCCTTTGATGGATGTTTCACGGTAAAACAGTCTTGAATGTCTCTCTCGTAAGCAAAAATAAGCTGCTGTTCACTGCTCTCATCGTCTTCGGAATATAAAGTCACCTTTTGTCGCCGTCGAGCTTAAAGGCGGAGTTCATGATTAGAAGACGGCTCATTAGAATTAAGGTAGAGATGGTCAGTGGTGCCGGGATGAAGAAAAATATTCAGAACTCAAGAAATGAGGCTACCTTCATGCTTGTTCATTTCCGCACTGATGGGGCTCTCATCGGTGCTGCCCTCCTCAACGCTAACGCTCTCTCCTCTGAACGCTAGAGACCTGCGACGAGTGGTTAATCGCTGGGCGCACCACGCCGACACCGTCGCGAGAGGGCCGTGCTAGGCAAGAAGCCCATCGCGAAGCAAGAAGACAGAGCTTGCGGACGAGTCGCAGTGCGTACTGTAATTATTTCACGTCAAGTTACATAGATATAATGTACCACTGCACGTCCTACAACCGCACATCGGGCTTTTTCGCCGAATCCGTCTTCTTGCCGCTCGACGGGCCTCCTGTCGGGTACCCTTTCTAGGCAGCTGTGTGCAGATCCTTCGCTGCAAACTGGGCGTCGTCCGCACCCCAGGGGGTCCGTCTGTCTTTCCACTAAATATTATTGTAAATTTCCCTTCTTTGACCATCGGCCTTATCGTGCTGTGTGAATGTGGGTCAAAACTCTCATTCAGGACGGTTCTGCACAAATAATTCACACGCGTACGGTGCTATACCGTATCTAACGCAGAGCAGCAAGGTGCTCTAACGTACGCTCACTAAGTCAATCAACATATTTAAGCTGAGGTGTGCACAGAACTTGTGATTGTGTGAAATAAACATAGGCTAATTTTCATATCTCAGTTCATGATCACGAAGTTATACACTGCGTCCCATAATTATACGTCCACCTAAGAATTTCCCAAAATCTCAGAAATACAGATGTTACGAAAAAAGTCTCCTATGTGACAATGTATCGCATATAAATACGCAATTGCCTATGAACATCAATTTTCTATTTGAGATCACAGGAATTTTTCCCAATAATTTTTGTGTAAAAGGCCACTCAGCCGACGTCCCAAAATTATACGTCCACCTCACGTTTATCGATTACTTTTCACTTCTGTTCCACGAAACTTTTTCATTGTGGTAACACTTCACTTCTTAAGGGAACAGCATAATAAAGACTGCTGTTGGATTTTGAGAAAGGGAAAAATGTCGCAAAAACTGTTGAACAACGCAATCGCACCAGATTTGGTCCAGATTCACGCCAAGCTTGAGAATTTTTTCAGGGGTTTCACATGATATGGAGTTTAGAAGAGCTCTAAAAGTCTCTCATTACTTTTCGATGGAAACAAAGGCCGTGTTACAGAAAAAACATCCACTTTCATCCAACGGTGCTCTGTCGTCGAATCTTCTTGAGAACTTTATGCCTCAACGGACTTTTGTTTCATGCTTGTAAAAGAATCCCAAGATCATTCTTGATTGGGAAATGTGAAAGACGGTCATTCATGGCAAGCAATCGTGGCGAAAACTGGGCTGATTTTTGCATGAAGGTGCAGCCGAGCCGACTGAAGTAAGGTTCGCTTCTGCCCGATATGTTTTGGCATTTGTTTGTTTCTCTTCTCACGTTTACCTTTCCCTTAATGGCTTTTTTCTTAGTGAAGCACTACTAAAAGAAAGAAAATGTTGAAAAGAAAGACAGACAAACACTCATGCATAGCAAGGAAAAAGGACCCTGCTCCAGTCGGCTCGGCTGCACCTTCATGCAAAAATCAGCCCAGTTTTCGTCACGATTCCTTGCCACAAATGAACGTCTTTCACATTTTCCGATCAAGAATGATCTTGGGATTCCTTTACATGCATGAAACAAAAGTCTGTTGAGGCATAAAGTTCTCAAGAAGATTCGATGACAGAGCACCGTTGGATGAAAATGGATGTATAACTTTGTAATGTACAGTACACATGCTTTGTTTGCCATGAAAATTTTAATGATGATGGACTTTTAGAGCTTCTTTTAGCATCTTTACACGCGACCATGTGATAAATCCGGGAGAAAATCTCAAGGTTGAGCTGTCCATCTGGGGACGGCCATTGCGTTGCTTCAACAGTTTTTGCGACATTTTCCCTTTCTCAAAATCCAACAGCAGTCTTTATTATGCTGTTCCTTAAGAAGTGAAGTGTTACCACAATGAAAAAGTTTCGTGGAACAGAAGTGAAAAGTAATCGATAAACGTGAGGTGGACGTATAATTTTGGGACGTCGGCTGAGTGGCCTTTTACACAAAAATTATTGGGAAAAATTCCTGTGATCTCAAATAGAAAATTGATGTTCATAGGCAATTGCGTATTTATATGCGATACATTGTCACATAGGAGACTTTTTTCGAAACATCTGTATTATCTGTGAGATTTTGGGAAATTCTTAGGTGGACGTATAATTATGGGACGCAGTGTATATTTGGTTAATGTCCAGAAACCTCCCAAAGGTACGAGTGAAATTGGAGCAGTCATGATGTGGCAAACTCGGTTCTTACATTCAACATGCTCAAATGTGCGCTTATCACAGATTGATATATACAACCCACTATAAAAGCCCAGTGAAGAGTACATGGGGAATCTTTTCAGCTAAACATCGTGGAGGTGAGGTCGAAGCTTCCTTGGCTTCCTGAAGATCGTGCAGCTGTTCATCCTTCGTTGCAGAATGTCGGCTCGAGGGAAGGTGTCTCAAAGATCGGCGCCCAAACAAAATGTGTCGCAAAGGACGTCATCGCGGTCGGCACCAGCACCACCTTCAGAAAGAAGTACGTCTTCCGCCTTTTAGCACCCAGTGCGATCACTCAAAGATTAGGGTAAATTCTATGGCCTTCGCAAATGAGACTCGATCCAGGTGCGCCTTCACAACCACCGGGAGCAGCACCAGGATCGGCGCCCAAACAAAATGTGTCGCAAAGGACGTCATCGCGGTCAGCACCAGCACCACCTTCAGAAAGAAGTACGTCTTCCACCTTTTAGCACCCAGTGTGCGATCAATCAAAGATTAGGGTAAATTCTATGGCTCTTTGCAAATGAGACTTCGATCCAGGTGCGCCTTCACAACCACCGGGAGCAGCACCAGGAGAAGAACAGGATATAGCGACAAAAATACTAACCACTATTCAAAATATTTTGACAGTAAGCTATTCATAGATTTCTTGGGAGGGTTTACAGTCCTGCCTTAGTGGGTGCGGGTTTGGACACATTATATATCATATACATTATAGCCTATCCAGGGTTCGGATCTAACCAAGGGAGAAGATGCGCCGTGGGCCAGGAGGACTCAGCCAGCTGCGCGACGTTAGCGAAGCGCGAGTGACGTAGCGCGCCGCCAACGTCGCGGGCTGCATGTGTGTAGCTAGTTGCGGTCAAGAGAAGTCAGTCCCCAATGCTTGCCTTGAACGGTAAGGTAGTGTTGGAGGAAGAAAAGAAGAATGAGGAGCAAAGGCATCACGCTGAAGCGGGAATGCGAAGTAGCTGACTCAGAATCGCTAAGAAAGAAGAGAAAGCAAGGCGGATGACAAAACAAGAGAAGTGACACATCATGAGTCCTTAACGCAGAGGTGATAGAGGACGCATCGACACCCCAAAAGAAAGGTACGTTAATCGATTAGGCGATGAGGCGGCAGCTGGGTTGATGATTGGCGCCGCTCAGTGGGCGGAGCGAGCCAGATATGCATACAGTCTTACTCGACTATTCGCCTACTCGCCTACCCACCTAATCGACTAATCAACCAATCGGCACTCCACTTGCCGAAACGTACCCTTTTCCTTGTAGACTATCGCCCAATCACCTAACCGGCTAATCGCATACTATACGACCGCGAACTATCGCTGCGTAAGTGCGAGTAGACATATCGTAGAAACAAACATACTCGCAGTTTGAGTAACTTCATATCTCATACAATTTCTCATATACACACTTAGTAGAGCAAATCCAAAGTTGATCTGTTCAGAGTATCGCCAACTTCTTTTATAACCTATACCTTGTGATAAAATTCATTGTGACGAAACCCGATGTTGCTTGGGTGAGATACAAATGAATTTTATAATCTGAAATCTACTTATCAATGTTTTGGTCTCTCTGCTTCCCTTTGCTGGTCCCCTGAAGCCAGTTTATTCAGGAGCTTGTCACTACAACATTTCGTTTGATCAAAGTATCCAAGGAAGCCGGCTTATGGAGTTGGAGCCAACTTTGGGATGTAAGCATTCAATTTACCGTAGCATTACTTACCGTATTCTACCGTATCCATGATCAGATGTTCTACGCACATACATTCGCACGATGATTCAAGCGCAAAAAACCGAAGACGCAGTAAAAGGAAGTTAGTTACAGCGTAATTCATGTTGAATAAATAGTTTCGTGCTACACATTGTGACTTATATTTTGTTCGCTGAGAAAACTGAAGTGAAGCTGAAGTGGTTTTCAAAACAGGACCGATGACGTTACAAGTAGTCATGCAGTAGTGACCCTTCTGGTGTGTCAACAGAAGATAGAAGATATGAGCGCCTTGAGATCTGCTTGGATAGCCATAACCAGATGGGGCACGGGACTTAAAGGAATGCTCCACGGAAAAACTGCACTTTATCCCAACATGCCAATTGTGATCACTAGAGACAACATTAAAAGTTTCACCCACAAAATATGATGGTGGGTCTAAACATTGACGGTGGGTGTGTGATGTGATAAACACCGATCTGAGCTGATAACGGACTTTGAAGCGCAAATGCCACTGACTGCGTTGCACCTGCTTTGACAGTGGTATGATTACTATATTCATCTGGGTAATGTAGGGTAAGGCGAGGGCCAAGGAGGTAGGTGGTAGAAAGCGATAGCAACTGGTAGGAATGTGAGTACCACCAATTTTGTCTGGATCTCCACTGGCTTTGGATCTCACATGGGGTTTGTTGAGTAGCACGGACACATGAACGGTATCAACTTGAAGTGACAGCACTAGATAATGGTTGATAAGAAAGGTGAAAATAAAAGTGCCGTCAGCTTTTGTGCCGTCTGCGACGGCAGACTAAGGTAATTCTGACAGTGTGGGAGATGGAAAGGCGTGAGAGGGTGACAGTGATGGTGAGCGCCCCGAGCTGACAATGTCTGATGAACACTGATGAGTAGCATCTGGACCGAAGCTTTCTGATCACATTACGCCCATTATATCTTGATGCACCATTCATACTAGCCAATGTCAAGGTGATAGGATGTTGATGATGTGTGATAGGAAGTGGTAGTCATCGATAGAGACTGATAAAACTCTGCTCGAGAAACTGATTGCTCCACAATTCAAGCTACGTAGGTGCTTAGTAAATTGAGCCCATCCTTGATTCTTTCTTATCATAAATTCTTAATCCTTAATCAATTACCTCACCTGCACCACCTGTCGTCCCATGTCACCTGTCATCACCGAATTGCTCGAGCGGGCGCTACGTCTCAGTGGTCGCTGTGAAGAGCTTGAAGAGTGGTCCAGTGGATCCTCCTCGCTCGAGGAATCCGAAGCCTTTTATTCCATTCGTCAGTTTTCTTCATTCTTCATCAATAGAAGCAAATATTTTTAAGTCGAAAAACTATATAGGCTACGATCCATGATATAAATATTTTCAATACTAGGAGATGAGGAACCTTCCATTCTTATTCCGATAGCCAACACATGAGCATATACAACGTTCAGTCATGTGTTTTCAGACCTACGCTGAATATTTGAGAAGTTGTGATAAGTACCAGTTCGTTTCCGTACCATGAGAGTAATCGCGATTAGTTCCATGAAAGTTGGGCGGTTGGCTATCTACAGAATGTATTTGATGCTTGTTCCGAGGGCAGCTCTATCGGATACTTAGCGTATTGAGTAAATATTCTGCATATTGTCAGGTGTCCTTAAAGCAACAGTCCAGGCAGGGTTTCAACTACTTGGTCATTAGGCGGTCAAAACATGCCCCAGCCCAACTAAAGTTTATAGGAAATGTCTTTAATTTCAAAACCTACCTCTAAAATGCGCTGGAAGGGGTCGAAGTCCTCTTGGAGGGGGCGGATCACCCATAAAGAGGCGGATCGCCCAACATACGCTGTGCAGAGCGCTTGCTCGACTAGCGGTCGTTGCGGGACCGCCGCGCTGTATGAGGTCGATTCCATAAGAACCCAATTGAAGCGCTTCAATTTCGATTGCTGGCAAATAGTTATGTATTTGCAAGCATGCATGGCTATTTGCCAGCAGTCAACTGGAGCGCATGTACTACGGGCAGGTTCGGACAACTCGTCCAACACACATCTCCCTAAACGGCCGGGGGAGTCCCTGTCTAAGCCCCTGCCCGACGTTCTACTTTTTCTATCTCCATTGACCAACTTCTCACCTGCAACGTCATTATAGGTGGTCCTTACCCGCGAATTCGTTCCTGGATTGTTGCTTTAAGAAGCTGGGCAGTGACGCGCGCGATAGAGTACGTATAAAATGGTAAAATGAATCACCAATCACATCGACACCATTCTTGCCACTTAACCCAAAGCCGTTTTGTGTGGCTCGTGCGAGGATTGGGAGATTATTGGGTTGTCTCATAATTCCTGTCGCATTTCTATTCAATTTCAAATTTCTTCCGTCTAAGACCGTTTCATTGCGAAATACGTTAGTATGTTGAAGTATGCTTCAAGAGCCTTAACAGCATGGTTTCGGAAACGCAAGCCCTTAATGGGTTAATCAACTAGGAATAAAAATAGGTCAGTGACTATAATGAATGATTATGCTTTACGATCCTCAAATGAACTCTGTAGCAAGGAGGACAACAGAGAAGACCAGCGCTGTGTTTGACCCAGTCTCTGCTACTGATAGGGTACTGAGCTAGTGGTCCAATCGCAACGGCAAAGACGAAACGAGCTATGAACTTCAACCTCATACTGGGCCTGTGGTCATTTTTGATGAGCCTCCACAACATGCGGCACTTCTGATGGCTGCCTCGCAGCCAGGAAGCACCAGCTCAACCAAAGCCCGAACTCCGTTTTCTGAGAATATCGCTCTCGTTTTGTTGGATTCGCTAGGTGGCCTGGTTTGGGAACCACTTCAATGTATGAAGACAAGCATTGCTAAAGTCAGCGCGGAATAGCCCTCTTAGGCTGGCTTCGGGGTTGCGAGGGAATCGTCAGAAACGTCTCAGATTCTCCTTTCTCCGAATGTACGCCAGACCTCACATTGCAATGCCAACTCACCACGTTCTGAGGGAGATAGCCAGGGCCACGATACCTCATCCACCATATAGCATTGGCATCGCTCTATCGGACTATCGCCTCCCCTGCGCCTGAATAAGCATCTGCCAGAGAAGAAAGTTAAAGATTGCGACCACCCCAAAAACGACTTCTCCAAATTCTTCAACCCCCAGCTTCCTTCATTCTGGGCTGGAAGCTTCCAAACGCTCGCTAGCAAATGCGCGCATTTGCACGAATCGTCGTAGTAGCTCTCAGAAAGAATCTCATGTTTCTACTAGCGTTGGTTTTCAAACTTCATCGCAACTAGCCGGGAAACCCCTGAGAGCTCTTAGGGTGTCTGTGGATCCAAAACCGGTCCTTGGAATGCTAGCCAATGTTAGATCTTTGGTCAAAAATGCTGACTCTGTTACTCTTGCACTTTCGCTCAAAAATTATGACCTGGTACTATTAACCGAATCCTGGTTGAACTCGAAAAATGATACTGCCCCTCTACTTGGTTCTATGAATTCTCTATATGATGTCTTCAGATGCGATAGAGTCCAAAAAACGGGAGGTGGAGTTGTTATGCTTCTTAAGAACGCTTTCTCGTGTAAAACTGTTTTCCATGAGTCTGTTAAGAGTGCCTACGAAATCTTGATCGTGGATGTCTCTTTTTTCGAAAAAATTATTAGATTTATCCTTGTTTATCGCACTCCATCCTGCAATGCAGCAAATTCCACTCAACTCAGTAGAGCTATCAGTGATCATTCATCGATCGACGCGCCTTGCATTGTGCTGGGTGATTTTAATCTTGCGAATACTGAGTGGGGCAATGAAATGCAAGTTGGAACTGTGTCTCAAGCTTTCTATGACATGTTCAAATGTCATAATTTTCAGCAATTGGTCCTTTCTCCAACCAGAGAGAAATCTTTCTTAGACCTAATTTTTTGCAATATTCCAGGGCTTGTCACAAATGTTACTGTTACTGCTCCCTTGGGACAGCAGTGACCACAATGCTCTTGAATTTATGGTAAACGTCAAAAGACTGGTTCCTATTGTTTCTTGGAAGCGTGCGTTTCAAGCTGCAGATTATTCTGCCATTGAAGGTCATTTACTTAATGTGGATTGGTTGGGTTGTTTCGCTGCTGTCTCTACAGTTGATGAAATGTATGAACTTTTTATCACCATTATTCATGATACGATAGAACGTTTCGTGCCCATCAAGAAAACTGGGGATACTTTCGTAAGATTGCCTAGTTATATCAGAAGGATGATTGGACGTCGTAATGCCCTGTGGAGTTTTGCCATAAAGAATGGCCTCGGAAATGACTGGAGTATTTTCAAAAAACATAATGCAATTGTAGAAAGATGCATCAATAAGTACCATGTCTATCTTGAAAAGAAGATTGTGGATACCAAAAGCCCTTCGAAGTTGTACACTTTTATAAGCTCCCGTATTAAAAACAAATGTCGATCCCGGCCTTGATTGCAAGCAATGGTAATGTGCTGTTTAGCAACAGGGATAAAGCCGAACTTCTAGGGCAGCAATTCCAAAAATCGTTTTGCGGTCTTCCTCCTTCTCTTATTGAGAACCCTTCACGAACCTTCCCTGCTATGGAACCCTCCGTATGGTTTTATAAAGATGAGATTGTTGACATTTTAAGCAAATGGCCAAGTTCTAAATCGTTGTCGCCGGACTTTATTCCTTTAAGTTTTATCAAGAGAATTTTACCTGTCATTGCATATCCGTTGGAGTACTTATTCAATCAGTCTTTCATCAAATCGGAAGCTCCTAGTCGCTGGAAAATGTCTTTTGTGACCCCCATACCCAAGAAAGCGCCCTTTTCAGACCCAGGAAACTACCGTCCCATAAGCATCACTTCAGTTTTTGCGAAGGTGTTTGAAAAAATCCTTAGGAAACACATTTTAAAGCATCTTGAACAAAATGAAATTTATTCCTGTGTGGAACAACATTTTTGGAGTGGGAATCTAACGGTGGTCTTCCTTACCATAATGGTCACTCATGTTCGCTGTTTTTTGGGGAGTGGGAATTTAGTCCAGGGAACGGATCGCTGCTTCTATATGCATAAAATGATTGGACAAAAGCGACTTGAG